GTGTTCAATCAACAAGCGTTCCCCACTGAAGGCACTTATCGAGATAGCGAGCTTGATCATCTGGGATGAAGCTCCGATGACCTATCGCTATGCATTCGAGGCCGTGGACCGTTCGCTACGTGATATCCTGGACAACGATGAACCTTTTGGAGGAAAAGTAATGGTGCTTTCGGGTGATTTCAGACAGATTCTTCCGGTGGTAGTGCAGGGAACGCCTGCGGACACCATGAATACAGGAAGGAGAAGATCGGCATTGCCAGTCGCACGGATGCTGAGCTGCTTGAATATGGGTCTCGTGCATTTCGTTCAGCCGGACGCGGGCTCCACCACGATTGACAGTGTGGATATCGCAAGATCGGGCTGCGTTTCAACATCGCTATAACCTCGTTCTGTTCTTGGGCATGGTGTGTTCAAACTTAGTCCCGTTCGGCCAGTTCTTGGACGACCAGAACGTCTGTAATGCGTCGATGTAGAAGGCCATCGCCTCGCTATACGATCTCGTGGACCAGAAGGGCTCGGTGAATGTCAGCTCGTGTCAATTGCTCGTGCGCTGCTGAAGCGTTCGAATGTGTTCTGAATGATGAGGCCTCTCCATCAGGGGACCTCGAGAAAGATCGTCATTGTCGCTTCACCAGATCCAGCAGAGTATCCGAGAAGAGCTTTGAGACTGCAAGATGCTGACGATTGCGCACCGGATCAACAGCCTGACCGTATTTGGTATTGGAGAAGAGCTCGGCGGTTGGAATTCGGATCGCCAACGGAGTTGCAGCGCAATACTTCTACCATATCGTACCTCATTGACTATTATAGATTGTCGTAGATTTGTTGGACGTGTATGGGAGACTCCAAAATCTGTTTACCCTTTTCACGATTTGATCGGTGAACGATCAACGTTCTTGCCAATAGCGCTGTCGTGTCCCGATGCTATCTGTAACGGGGTACAAACCCCAGTGTACCCAAGTTACATGAAGAGTGACCAGTCACTCTAGGAACCAATCATTGCATATCTACATAGCTTTACTATAGGTGACTTATAGTTTGAAATTAGAAACCAAGCTAAGCTTACCTATAAATACAATCAGTCTTA